GAGAGGGGCTTTTTATATAAATCATGGAATATGGCTGAGAGTGAGCCTTTGCCAGGCTGAGTGAACCACCATAAATAGACTCCTCTCCCATTGCATGTAGTAACAGCTTTGAGCAACACAAAGGCAACTGTGGTGGAGCTAGGAAAAGGGCTCTCATTGTTTACGTGCATTGCTGAGTTAGTCATCGATAGAACCAGGCTGTCAAGTTCAATCGATGAAGCATCAGACATGGACTTTCAATGTATTCTGAATGCTTGAAATACCCTGAAATTTCATTGAACTCTCCTGCTATCACCAGAGAGTATAACAGAGAATCCCTAAATGAACCTCACTTGAGCTGAACGGGGCAGGCGGCTTTGACACACTTTAGGCTTCAGAAAAAGTCTTTCTCACAGACTCTGCTCTGTCTAGCTCCATTTCCCAAGATTCCCCCCCCCCCGGGGATATATATATGTAGTACTGCGATGAAAGAGACTAATATAATGTCAGAGGTGGTTAACAAGGACTCCTCAAGGAAGACAGTGTGACAGTACAAAGGCTGCAGAGAGCAAAGACTGATGTGGAATGTAACTAACCTGGAACCTAAAGTCATATGTGTCTAATCAGTTCCAGCGATGCATTCATCACACAGGGAGGAGCAGTGGTGCTCATAAAGAGACAGAAAGAATCAGATCAGAGTGTGTGTGTGTGTGTGTGTGCCATGCCTGTGGGATGTCTTATCAAAGCTCCTGCAGAGGTCAAGTAAGGACACAAATCACATCCTCAGGCTTTGCTGTCTCCTCTCAACTTTCACAACATTTGAGCTACTACATCTGGTTCTATTTTACTTTCTCTGTCCCGCTTCGTCTTTCTCATTTCGTCTTTCCATTTCTAAAAGTGTGCTGTTTCATAGTGGCATTTGTTGGCCCAACAGGGTTTCTATAGGACGGTGAAAAAAGAAAAGAAGTGGCGATGTATGATGAACCGGGGTGATGCACTGCTCGACCTTTTTAAGTTCTGATACGGACTTGAACTTTTTCGAGTTGCTAGCATCGTCTCCAAAAACATCATGCACTGTGGTGAACCAATAAAGCCTTTCTTTGATGGCAGTTGAAATAGATTTGCTTGAGTGTCATTCGTGCACCGCACTGTGTGGCATCAGCTCATGTCCAACCAGCCAAATGTTGAATGAGCAAATGGACAAATGTCATAGCACTGCAGTGAAGCTCAGAGCTTTTACATCCATTTACTTTGCTGATAAGTTTTTTTTGCATACGTCTAGAGGCCAGAGCCCTCTGAGAAAATTTACATTATGTCAAACTGTACCTTGTTACAAATGTTTTGTCGATTTCAAACCATCACTGGGAAGTTGCTCACGTTATTGCAAGCACCCCACATAGTTAACTGCTCTGCTTTCTTTTGTCTGCCTTTTCTTTATTTATTTTTCCCCCGTTTCATCTGCCTTCTTTGTTTGGTTGAACGTATCTACCAACATCACTTAAACATTAGCTTTGCAGATATTCAAGAAGCCAAAGAAGTTGTGGGGTAACAAGCTTGATCCATCCAAAATGATTAGCCTTTGTTGTTAGCTCCCTCCATGCTATGATTGCTCCACCTAGCAAAATGCACAGGACTACAGGCACACTGAGGACTTGTGGTGGCAGCAGTGGTGATTCTAGAGTCTGTTGGGAACCTGGGCATAATTAATTGGGGGCCCCTCCAACCATCATTATGTTCTGAGATTCTGTTTTTACACTCTGTAAGTCATGCAACACACACACGCTGAAATAAGATCCTATGGCCGGGACTTGAACTGGCGACCCTCCGATTCCCAACCCAAGACTGAGCTACTGCCTATTAAGGGACCCCTCTGCCAAAGGAAGGTTTTTTATATCTCAACTAAATGAGCTGTACATATTAATTTACAAATAGTATTCATTTCAATCAATTCAATTTGGTAAGACATCAATCCTGTTCTGTCCCATTGATTCACAAGTCATCAAACATTATTTTCATTTTCATTTGATTTTTAATACTCTGATGCAGTTAGGACTTCAAAGGGACTTAATGTAAAAACATATCAGTTTGTCTTGCACAAGAAAAAAGCAGGTAGATCAAACTAAAAATGACCCAGATGAACTGTCAGACATATTAAATTATTTGTAAGGATCTACTGGATCAATTTCCATTGTACAGGAGGTAGACTCAGCTGATGCTGATGGCCACCCATGGGCTCTGTCCTCCACATCGGCACTTCAGTAGTTACAGGCCCCTTCGCTGGTTGTCTTTTGGGTCCAAAGTCTCTGTGAGACTTATTTGTGTCGCTCACAGAGCCCTGGAGACACACCTCCAACACTCTCTCTCTCATGCACAAATGTGCATGTTCAGACTTGCTTGATGGCTGGAAAAGAAAAGTACAGTAGATACAATAAGTCTCAAATGCTATCTTGTATTTACCTTTCTAACATTTTGCATTGGTTACATTGGATCAATTTGAAATTGATTTTGCTGTTTACATTTCCCAAGAATATTATTTTCTAGCCCAAGTGAACCCAGAGTCCAATTGTAATCTCATTTAAAGATACTTCATATGAATAAAGCTTTGTGGATCTTACACCTAATACGCATCATAACCATAGACTGTAAATATTAGTGGACCAAGCCTGAGTGACGTCACCAATCTGTTACTGCAGGGGGCTTTGGAGTCCCATCGATGGCGGTCACCATGCTGCAAAAGTTGTCCCAACCTAACGACAGACTAATAGCTGGAGCTGAGGCGGGTTCTTATTGTGAATAACGCTTATCAGTTCTAAAATCAAAACATACCAGTTATCAAAAGATCGGTACAGTGTGTGCCGATCGAGACATGAATCAGACCTATTTGGTTTTTCAATCTTCCAGAGCTCATGTAGCCAGCCTCAAGCTGACACTCTGCAGGATTTTGCACTTCCGCATGACTATAAACCGCATGTACTTTTGTTTATGTCCCTTGTCTTTCTAATTATCTTAGTCTCCTATCTTAATTTCAGCTATTTCTTAATCAGTGAATAGTTTATTTAGCTTTAATTCAGTTCCATCAATTATCTTCTCTTGTAACACTTGTAATAACTGGAACAATCTCACTATCAACAGGCAAGGGGCGGAAAGTTGATTTTAAGTTTTCCTAATTATGTCCTTTTTTTTCTATTAGAACTTTGCCCTTATAAGATAGACAGGCAAACGAGACAGGAAATATAAACAGGGAGACTGGGGAAGACATGCTGGGCCGAGGCCTTCAGTAAACCCAGGGTTGCTGCATAAATGACAGCGTCAGTACACTGGGTGCATGCATCTAGCTCTAAACTACAACAAAAGCAAAGAAAAGTAAGAGTATTCTCGTGTTGAGGGTCCTGTGTTGTAAATATTGACTAAATGGGTCCTGAAGGGAATGTCAAAATTCCTATTAAAGGAGTTCTTCTTTTTCTTTCAGTCATGGTTCCATCACTCCCTCTTGTGCAAGGACTCCTCTTTGAACGTTTCTCTAACTCAAAGTCTCAAATTCAATACAAAGGCACAGGGAGATACTGCAAACAAAAGCAGCATAGAGAGTGAACTCCATGACATATTACCACGTCCTCACACTGCACCAGTGTGTCCTGACATGGCCCCAACCTTCTAACTGCATTTGCCGTCTCTTACTCAGGGGAACATAAGGATCACATATGCCTTTGGCCGGAGTCCACACCCACATTCCTCAGCTATGTGCTCACAAGCGTCCTCTCTGCCCCCCCCCCCCCCTCCCTCCCTCTAAACTCTGACACCAAAACCTTGGCCCACATTGCTGTGCGCTGTAAAGAAATTCAAACACTCAAGTTCTTTCCTTTACGCAGGGAGACATAGAACACAGCGCTACTTCTTGAACTCAGTTGAGACCAACATGCTCTCCTCTCCATGCTCCAGGCTGAACAAACTTTAATCCTTCTGCATTAAATAGGGTTGTCAAGCTCTTGTGATGGGAAGCTGATAATGATTTCATAGACATTTTCTTCACTGAAATTAACCCCTTTAGGGATGAGCAGCAGAAATTTTTAAAACAAATGAGCTCTGGAATGAGTCTAAACAGTCACTTCTAAGGAAAACTTCATAGCCAGGACTATTTATGAGACGGGTCCCCAGCGGCTTGTTCAGTTAAAGGTTATCTTGTACTTACAACTCAAAGTCAAAGACACATGGCCCAGAGAAGCTGTGCAGTTTGCAGTCTGGGGTGACCGGGTTCAGTGGTAGGGGGTGCATGGTGTGGAATGTGGCTGTAAGGAAAAGCCAGGAGGAATCATTATGGAGAAGAATTGAGACGCCAGAACTGGGAGAGCAGCATTCAAGACGAGATTTTCAGTCTTTATTTTTCATTTTTTTAAAGTCTGTTCACATGGCTTAAACCTCCTGTCCTTCATCCTCCTGTAACAGTGTGTTCTTTACAAGATAAACTGAGTGGAAGTAAAAGCAGGGAACTGATTAAAGTGAACTGTTTAATAAAATACTTGAATCTGTATCTGTTGAGAGCTGTGCTGATAGATCTCTTATAGTAGTTACTGTCAACTATATCTCCTGACTTGTTAATGTTTTGAATGACAAATACATAATATAATACTTCACCTTTAAGAACTCCGGGACTTTATTGAATGTCTTGTTAAGGACTGTCTTTTTACACCACAAGAGTCACTTTAACCCAGTAATGTATAGTTGGTCTGTTGTTTTAAATAAATAGGCCAGACCATCATCTCATCTGAAAATACCAGTTTAGATACAAGGGCAAAATACTCACTGCTTCATAGAAATATAGAATAAGGGATTGGCGGGGTTTTTATACTGATTTGTGTACTTGGGTCAGCAGCTGATATCTTTTGAGGTGGGGTAGGGTTCTTACTGGTTTTCTCCCAGCACTCTTCATTACATGGTGACGGATCTTAAAAGACTAAACTCCCAGGTGTTGAGATTAAAATCCTCATATCTCTCTTACTGTAAAATGACAAATGGCACACACATTTAACACAGAAGTACATTTATTCAGGTCTTAATACATTAATATTGAACAAGTAACATATTGGTATTGATTGCAAATCAAACAGCATAAGCCCAATTGATATCTGTGTATACGTTAAATGTAACAGATTTGATATTCAAATGTGTAACGGGAACTCTTCCTCGTGTCAGAGGAGCACTTTGTTATAAAATGTAAGTAAAAGTGAAATATATATATTTCTACTCGTAAAATTACAAAATTGGTCCAGAGCCTGCGTTCTGAGCAGGACATCATTTCAGACTAAAAATTTAGTTTTTTATTTTTAAAAATTCAATATACCTTTTTACTTTTTCTAGTCATTTGCTTTTTGAAGCTATTTTCTAAAAACTGTAGCTAAAAACTACAAGAAATACAACATTGTCAGTTTACAAAAGCTTAGCATATGAATCACTGCATCATCTACTTTCTAAATCAACTTCATTTTTTCCCCATAGAAGAACTATCTGGAACATAGAGTTTTGACAACAACGACACCATTAATATCTCACAGCGCTATGTTACAATAAAATATCTCTGTCATAAATTCCAAGGGAAAAGAAAATATATCAATAGCAACACAAAATTAAGAAATACAATGCATAGATTCAATCATTTCAAAATGTAGAGATATAATTTACTTAGTACAGCTCTTTAACTTTCAAAGTGAACCCTGTGACACTAACTACATGGATTCATTACAGTTTATCCTGGCTTGAGTGACCGGCACAAATATATATATATATATATATATATATATATATTTTCTGAACATATCACATGATAGAAATGCTAAATATATCACTTTAACTTCAAAGGCAGATTTGGCTATAGTACACTGTGGCATGTTTGGGTAAGAAAAGGCAACACCTGGCACCAAAGCCAAACAGCAGCTTCTTTCTCGGCGTCCATAGAGGGCCTTTTGAAATGTTAACAATTTAATTTGACTCTTTTAAACCTGCTCTGCTCCCTGTCTTTCTCAATGTCAGCTGTGTCAGATCATGTGCCTTCACTGCTCTCCAGTATGTAAGCTTGGATTTTCATCCTCTCTTGTTGTCCCTGAACTCATCACAAGTCCCACCTCATTGCAAACCAACATACTTAGGGCATTTATCAACACATAATCAGACACCCACTTATATATGTGGTGTTTGGATTAATCACACAATAATCTGTCATGTCAAAAAGGCAGTTTAAACGGACAAGCTCATTGTTAGCGCAGCAAGAACTTAGAAAAGCCAGTCAGAAATGCAAATATACAAGCATGATCAGATACTTAACACTTAGTGGCGCTTCTCAAGGGCATCTTAAAAAAAAAAAATGATCAGACTTGTTATTTAAAAGATGATTGGAGCCATCAAGTCACGTGTCAGGGTTATATAAAATGTTGAAAAAGACACAGATAGGTAGAGGTAGGAGGGACAGAGTGAAAGTAGAGTCTCACTAAAAGCAGAAAAAGTGGATTCTGCAGAAAGCAACTTTGAGTTACATCGGTCAGTCACGCGAAAAACCTAGAGACCAAACAGAGAAGTCCAAAGATTCTGAAGCTGAAGCGGGGGTCAGGCTGCTATCTCAGTGTCTCTAGCGACAGTCACAGACATGTCTTGGACTCAGCCTCTTTGTGACAACAACAGTATCACTGAGAATATCTTTTATCCACCAACGAGCCTCGACCTCTTCACATTCAGAGCGCTGTGATGCGTTCAGGAAACCCTTACTCAAACGACCTACTCTTACTCACTTCTTCTTCACTCCTACAGAAAAGTCAAAACAAGGACACTGTGGATAAAGAATTCACTGTACTTCTTAAAACTGCTGGATTTGAGCATCTTCTGGACCATAAAAATGACGATAAAAAACTCTAAATCTGCTGTGTCAGGCACTATAAACAGGCCTCTGTGGTATTAAGGTCAAGAGTGAAAAACGACTCTGAACATTTCTGATGCCTGAGTGCAGGTAATGCACCAGCATAAATTTATATATTTACCACAAATAATTTAGTCTCAAATATATACTTAATCTAGTAAACATCTTCTACATCATGTTATTATACATTCTTAACTTATGTACAAGAAATTAGAAAGGTTATTCATGTTTTACAGCCTCATTAAGAAGAATCCTCAAACACAGACGTGGGTTTAACAAGAATCGGATCCAGTTTTTTTTTTTTTCTGTGAGCTCATTTCTGCTGCCTTGGTTTTTGCTTCCGCTCTGTAAACACTATTTACATACTTTAAAAAAAAAAAAAAAATTCACTACATGAACTGATCTTACAAAGTGTACAATGACATTATGTACATTCAGGCAATGACAAAGTGAGTTATTGTGTAACATCATCCGAGGATCCCTTGAGAAGTCTCTAACTTTACATCATGTCAGTCTGCCAGATTACCTTCATATTCCTCCTGTAGTGGTAATCACTTATCACTACTCTGTACGTACATGAAGTTTGATTGTGGAAACACAGTAAACAGCACAGTATGAGTTCAAACACTTGTACAGATTGTGATGCTGCTATCACTGACCTTAAGGAGTAAACCAGAGAGGTGTGTTTCAGTTTGGCTCTTATATTAAGGCAAACAGTTTGGCACTAAGTTTGTACATATATGTGATAGTTTTTATCTTCACCAGTTCAGGGGCACTAATGGAGATGAAGTCTCAGATCTCAGATGACCCAGCCGCTTTCAGACTCCTGACGAGATCTGAAGAGTATTGTGAGGAAAAATAAAGAAATGTTGATGGCGTAGAAACTACGTTAAAGTTTGTACGATCCTTTAAGTCTGTCCGTTTAAGTTCTGATGTTTTTCAACCAAACAGCAACAACAGGTTAGTTGAACAGAACTTTTCTACCCTGACACCCAGCTGTGTGTGGTGGTCTTCACTCCGTGGGGGAAACCTTGTTGGGTCACCATCGGCTCAAAGTTAAAGTCCAAGGGGGCGCCGTCCATCAGAGTGTCGTGGAGGACTGTCTCCATGTCAAACTCAAACTTCTCGATGGACATGTCGTCTAGGTCGCTGGGCAGCTTCTCGGTGTGTGAGGGCTGTGGTAGACCAGGTCGTCCGTATCCATTGGTATTCAGCGGGCAGAATCCGCCGGGCATCCCTCCTCCACCGCTCAGGTGGCTGGAGAGGCCATAAGGCATCTGCATCTGGCTTTTGGCTGAAGGCAAAAGAGTGGTGACCCCGCTGTGGCTCAGGGGCATGAGCAGACGTCCGTTCATTGCGGGTGATGCTAATGGGGCCTGGTTGTGGACATTGTGAGGGCGAGTGTGGGAGAGAGCGTGTGGGTGTCCGTTTCCTCCTCCCATCAGTTTAGCCGGGTGCTGGTTGCTGCTGTATGGCGGCAGCATGCAGCCCCCACTGGACTGAGACACCACTGAGTCCACTGAGGGCATGAGGTCTCCATGCTGGTCTGTGTCTGTTGTCAACAGCTCCTTCAGAAGCCCTGCAGCGCAGCTGTACTGTCCCAGACCTGGCCCAAAGCTGGGTTTACTCTCCTGCAGCGTCTGCAGCGGCATGGACGACAGCGTGTTCATACCCGCTTGGCCATACACACACTTGCGGTACTCCTGCTGGGGCTGCGGGGCCATGTTGGGGGAGCTGTACGCAGGGTACCCTGGGCTCTGCTGCATCATGTTAGAGGGTGAGGACTGGGAGGAGCAGGGGGTTGTCCCACCTCCTCCAACTTGTGAGTTTTTGGGAGAAAGCAGGTTGAGGTTGTCCAGGAGGTTCTCCATGACATTCTCAGAGCTGTGACCCAGAGATCCCGTCATCTCCGTCAGGCTGGGCAGCGTGGCTGTCATCTTGGCCCCAGGGGCTCCTGGGTAGCCCATGTGCACATCCGCCTCGGCGAAGTCGTCCTCAGGCATGAAGGGGGAGAGGCGGTCGCTCAGGGTGCTGGCGTTGGAGCTGGTCCGAGGCCTGAAGCTGTTCCAGGCATCAAAGTCGTCGTTGCTGTGTGAATTTGGGCTGCCGGGCCACTTGGAGAAGGAGCCTGGGCTGTCTGCTCCACCGTCAGGGCCGCCCTGCAGGGACAGCTGTTGGGGTAAAAGAAGACTCTTAGTGTACTGATAGACCAAGTGGAGTGGAGACAGTCAGTGGATCATATATTACAGGTTGAAACCATTGACAATAAAGAACCGTGCGGTACTGATCACTACTGAAACATGTCAAAAACACCATTTCAACAACAATTAAAAAAAAATCATGAGCACTGCTAATCAAAGGCTAAATACACATAAGAAAGTTTTAAAAGAACTAGTTAAGACATTATCATCAAACTATAACATGATTCATAGAAATATGGACAGCTGTGACGAGAAAAGATATTGGCTAACATAAAATCATCCACCAAATGTAAATCCTACTTTTGACTTTCTGTACCTTTTTCTTCGCTGCTCTTCCTCTGCTCTTCGCGAACTTGCTGTTGTTGTCCATGGAGGCGGCCCTGCGTCGCGGGGACTTGCCGCTCTTCCCCCCTTCCGGATTCAGCATCCACCACGAGCTCTTTCCCGTCCCCTCATTCTGCACGCGAACAAAGCGGCTGTGCAGCGACAGGTTGTGTCTGATGGAGTTCTGCAGGAGGAAAAGAGAAAGGCTTATTGAGGAGTGGACAAACAGAGGGGTGTGTGTTTGCCCTTTTCCCGAAAAAAACATTTCACATCTGCCTTAGTATAAAGGTGCAAATCCATCCGTGCAGGTGGCTCTCTTTTAAAAACACACAGGGCCTGACAGCTTAATACACAGGAGAAAGGGGAGATTTAAGGTCACTCAACAATCTAATGCCATTTGCAATCCAAAGAAAGACATGTACACGAACACGTACACACTCACACATAATAGGTGCCGAGTATGTTCACTGAATGGGCAACACATCCTGCAGTGAGCAAGGTTTAAACTGCACACACTCTTATCTCCAAACATACTGTACATGCAGGCCTTTTATTTCCTTCACAAAAACACAGAGGGCCGTTGAAAAACACCATTAAACCAACAATCACATTCCACCTGACTATGTCTCTTGTCTAAAGCAGCACAGAATCAAAGGGAGGAAACAGACTAATCTTTCCTCTCACAGACACGTTAATAGTGCGCTCAAGCGTTCCTTAGTGACACCCTCAGTGGAAAAACTTATTTTTGTGCAGGAAGCAAGTGAAGCATTGTTAAATGTCTGCAAACAAGAGCTAGAATCCGTCTGATAAGCAAACCAAAGAGAGCGAGTTACCGTTTCTGTCGGACATTATTAGAGCTACAACTGTGCTGGGACACTTTCAAGTCCAAAAATGATTTTGTTTTTTCACTATTTCTAAACTCTAAATCATCTCAAACTGTTGCCTAAGTGACCATCTACCCTCAGAGAGTAACTTACACTGTTGCTCTGTGCGGTTTTGTGTCCGGGCCCTAACATGAAGTAATGAGCCTTGGCCAGACGTTACTGTGCATGCGTACAGCTTGTTGTTTTGGAAGAAAGCTGGAAGTCCCGCCGCACAATCACACACATGCAGAGCTTAGCGTGCATAGTGGTTAACGTCATCAGGCCTGTTCCTGCTGTGAGTCACTGCCTCACATCTGGTTCAGCCTGTCCTCTGCTTCTCCTCATCTTCTAATGCTGTGACTTTAAAATATCTCCATTTCAAACCTTGCCATGCCATTTAATTTCTCAAGTCAGTGATCAACTATTTGTGTAGTCTTTTAAAAGTCTGTGAAATAAAAAAGAATGACCCTAAAATTATGAGAAGTGATCAAAGTGTTGTCTAAAACCAAAAGACACACGTTCCCAAATAATAGAAACAAGAGAAAATTAGCAAAGCTTGCATGTAAAAGGCAAAAGATCAATTCTGTTTGTTAATCATTTTCAGATTTTTCACAAATAAATTACTTCAGAACATTAACAAGTGACTCTTGTTGGAGTTGGCGTACTTCCAGACTTTAATCTCTGGCATCCCACATTTCCCACAATGCAACTTGATTGACGTCCCTTGTCTGAATGTAGATTCAACATCTTTGAAACTAAAAAGCTTGAGTTTTAACTTGGGTAGAGTTCTGTTAAATGTAAAGCCTTTTAAATGTTGTGAAATTTTGAAGAGATGGTGACATCACTATGACGTCATCATGGCAATTCCGTCAGACGTTGGAGAGCTCCTCTTTGAGCTGTAGAAGTGATCATAGAACTGTTTTTACCTGTTTCACCTTTACATTAGTGAAGATCAACACCTTGTTTTTTTTCTGTCTTTGGCTTTTCTTTAACATCTTATGTCTCTTTGATCTACTTCTTTTCTCCTCTCTCTTTTCTCAGACTCTCCTCTAATTTAATCATCAGTGAATGAACATTATTCTTCAAATGACCTGACTGCCTCGGCCAATCGTCTCCGGCTAGTTTGCATGATCTGACCGACGTGACAGCGCCTCTCTGATTAGCCTAGAGAATGCTCCCCCCCCCCCCCCCCATCTCCTGCACAGTGGAAGCTATGACAAAAGGCGAGGAGTAAAGTCTGGTCATGAGCCTCTCCTTCCCATGACCGCGGAGAGTGCTGGTAATTTCAGCGAGGAATGACTGCAATGTGAGTGCAGACGCCGGGATGTCCTGTTACAACCCTATATCACCCTGATGACAGGACGAGAAGCGCTAGAGTCCCCCCCGCTCAGTTTATGTCACAGTCATGCGCTGGGTGTTGTTGTGATGGAGAACATAAAAAACAGTCCAGATGAAGAAGAGGGAGTACAAGTGAAGGGTCATAAAACTGCTCTGATGGGAAATACCAGAACTCGGCAGGACTCAGCGTACCGTGTGGGGAGTGTGGCTAAAGGGTGTCTGCTGGGGCCAATGGAAAAGCCTCGTCTGTGTGTGTGTGTGTGTTTGCGTTTGTGTGTGCAGGCTCATGTTTTTAATGGAATGGCATCACGACCACCAGCAGTGCAGTAATGGTTTTGATTTTGTTGCTCAATCCACTGCAGCCGGAGATATCTTGACGTAAAAGCGATTATTTGGAGGATGAACACACACTTAAAAACAGACATGCAAACATAAATAAGAAGTAGGACAGACGCCGGCTACTTTTGTTGATGTTTTCTCGTTTCCTATTTCAATGAAGAATATGTTTGACAAGATAAGAGTGTGTTTTCTCTTGGATCCTGCGTCTGAATGTGACACATATTTATCTCTGGCTGCAGCACACAGAATCTTAACATTCCAACTAATCACTGCGTGCAAAGTTCAATCGTAATCAGAGCCAACGTGTTAGTATCTCTTAGGAAACAGTAAAGGCAGGATTCCCAGCCAGGCAGCCATCACAATCAACATTCCTCAGCAAGGTTACAAAACCCACAATTTCACACAACTGAACTCCGATAACCCTCACATGAGGGCCATTCTATCTTGTGTTGTATGAAAATGTGACAATAACAATGTCCTATCTCGGAAAGTGGAGTTTTTTTGTTTCTTTTTTCCCGGCCATAAAAAGGAAAACAAGACGATGGAGACAGTTTAGATGGATGTATCGGTCAATGCTGAGAGGCTTTAAAAACACATTTTCTGTGTTGTGCCTGAGCGCGCCGCCAGGAGCAGCACCTCCGTTTACCGAGGCAACAGATCAGAGCAACCCTGGCAAAACAGGAGGAAGTGACCACATGAAAGAGGACTGTGACAGGAAACAGAGCTGACTTCCTGCCTCACAGGAAACAGTGGTTGTTAGCCGGAGAAAAAGGCATGGAATGTGAAGCCACAGCGTTGTGATCCAAGTGGACAACTCAGATTTAGCTCACCATCCTAAAACACACACACACACACACACACACACACACACAACCAGCAAGAGTTTATGTTTAGCAACAAGCTGTGATGATCCCTGATGTCACACTATACCCATTAAATGAAAGTTCACATTGTCGTGTGACTCCTGAAACTGAATTACAAGACTGCATACGCCATGACTCAACAACTGGTTGCAGTATGGGCGTCTAGGTGGTGCAGCTGCGTGTGTGTGTGTGTGTGTGTGTGTGTGTGTGTGTGTGTGTGTGTGTGTGTGTGTGTGTGTGTGTGTGTGTGTGTGTGTGTGTGTGTGTGTGTGTGTGTGTGTGTGTGTGTGTGTGTGTGTGTGCTATTTCAGAAATGAAAAAAGAGGGGCTGTGTGAGACAGAGTGGGCATGGATTGGTAAAGAACACACTGTGCTGCTTTAAACTCCCTCTCTGGCAGCACTACTGAAAGGCCACAGTGTTCAGTAGGACTCTCCTTCTCCTCTCATTCCTTCTCTTTATTTCTCCTCTCCTCCCCTCTCTTAAACTCCTTCCTCTCCTTTTTGCCTTGTCTTAACTCCCCATGACCTTTTTTTTCTGCCTTAGATCTCCTCTCTTCTATTCTCTGCACATATAGTCTCCTTCCTGGTCCACATGTTGTTTCCTTCCTTCTGTTCTTCTCTCCTCTCCTTTTTGACTTGCATGCTTTCACCTCCTCCCTACTCCCTCATATCAGCACTCTCCT